TATTTATAGCATATAAAAATAAATTAGAACGTGGAATGCAATGATAAGATATCGAACATTAATAATGTACTTTTAGATGTAGTTTATTTTTCATAACTAATGAGATAATGGAGTCTGAAAAACGCACTTTCGCAACATTATGGTCAGGGACTCACCTTAAGTGAAAGTTTACTGTTTCAGTAATAATCTTCTTCTTTAGGCTTATTAATTACTAAAAATGCTCTTGTTTATCTCGTGGGGTGGGGATCTGGTGATTGTAATACAGGCATTTTACTGCATAACTTAGACATCAGTTTCTTATTCTTGACTAGGAGTACGAATATACCTGTATCTATTTAATTTAGATATATATAAGTTTTATTATAATATATATGGTCTGTTTTTTGGAAGAAGAAATTAATAAACATTATTATTATTATTTCATCTTGTTTAGACTTATGCCCAACCTGTTGAGCTTCAGCTTCATATCATACACAAATTACCACACATTGATAATACAAAAAAGTAATAATAGACATTAGAATAAACTGTAAAACACATAAAAAATGCTCGGATATTCAAGCGCCTGCGTGCGTTCTCTCATTCTGACTACATAGGTTACGGTGGCGTTCCGATATTTTTAACTGTGTGTTTTTTCATAATATGTCTCTATATCCGGTGAACGTGCAAAAAGAACAATATATTTATGAACGGAAGTGGAAGTATACCAGAGAGAAGCGACAGCATCTTCCTGAATAAAGTCTGAAAAAATTTTATACGTGGTAGAGCCATGCTGCAATTGTATTTGTAGTATAGTTGTAGCACGAAGTAGCTTAATTTTGCTGTGTTTCGTATGGTGAGTGTAGTGACCCGGAGAACCTTTTTTACTAGAAACGAGTCTTAGTCCTCAGGGGTGACAACGTATCTGGGTTTTCATACTTAATCGAGGATAAATGTTGATGTCTATGGGCCATGGCATTCACTTACCGTCAGAGGGCCTGTGTGCTCGTTTGTCACACTTATTCTTAAAAAAATCCAGATGAGCCGTATTAGTCCTAAGAAAACCCAAAGGGCGAGAAATTATAATCACCTTAAATTTTGTAAAAATCGTTACGAATCCTTCAAACGTGAGCCTCACGTCACTGAAAACACGTCTTATATGAGTCTTAACAGATTTAACAGCCACCTCAAACAAACCACCGTGATTTGGACTGATTGTAGCATTGAAAATTTTGATGGGCTAATTTTCGCTCTAACTTCGACCGATTATTTCCTACAAATATAAATAATTCTTAAAGATATTTGCCCGTTCCCATATAGTTGGTTCCGTAATAAGACCTTACTAAAGATAATACTTCTCTCCGTGAAACAAAGCGTGTAAACGCCGCTACAAATACCTCTACCGGTAGATCTGTCGCCACTTCCCGGTGAACTGCTTTAGTAGCTAAACAACAAAGACGCACAAATAAAAAATTACAATTTTTGATTTACCCGAGTTCCTTGTTTTAATGTAAAATGGGCCAGCAAAGTCCGTACCGATGCCGAGGTAAAGTCTTGCATATCTGATTCGATCTTGTAGTAAGTCCGCTATGAAAGGTTACGTAGCGAGAGCCCGCGACCGATAACATTTATGCAATGAAATGTGACTTGCCAGGTCACTCGACCAATATACACAATCCAATAGTATCGAGAAAGTATGGCTGCAAGAATTTTTGCACCGACGTGACAATATTCCTCGTAATAATGAGTGACTAGTAACTCCATAACCTACCATCACCGGGTAATAAGATTCGAAGCGTCCCTATAGCATAGGGCCCATTTGTACCTAAGTCCGTCATCAACCCATTTCAAATTTGACCTAAAATGTCCCACCTAAAAATAAAGTAATACCACCTACCACCTACCACCTAATAATACATATCACATAAACAATTTATCAGAAAATTTTGATATATCCACTCTCGGAATGTCGGGGTCATTTTGGCCAAGATGGTGCATCTGTCGAGCACTTTCCGAAGTACTTAGTATTCCGAAAGTAATCCGAAAAGTTACGTACAATTATATAAAACTTATTAGTTGATCCCTCAGTCCCTTAATAAAATAAAATCCCCTAATACTTAAAATTCCCATGCGGTCGCATGCGTCCGTCAAATCCCGAGCGGTCGCATGTGACCGCACCCACCCACAGCTCTTTAAACCATTAAAACTTATATTTAGAGACTACTTTTCTAAGAAGAACTTTGGAATTATAAAATCTATACAAAATTCTCTATATAAAAGTCAGGTTTTACTTCATTACAAAATACTACTATACTACTACTATACTAATACTAATACTATATTTTGATAACAAAAACAAAACATATCAAGCCAATGTTGGCAGCGTGAAAATCACAATTATTTCAATATATATTACTCGAAATTATTTACGTAAAAAGATAAATTATATTCACGCAAAAACTTCTATTACAATTTTATAATAAATTACTATACTAAAACACTAATAAAACACTCGAAAAATCCAAAATCAACACAATAACATTCACGCGAAAATGTCGTAAGAAATGAACGTAGATTATAAATAAATATCTATAGTATAACTGTCTTTTATTTCACTAGAGTATAGAAAATTAAATATTGATTCTATAATGCCACACTTCTTCATAGAAAAGTAGTCTCTAAATATAAGTTTTATTGGTTTAAAATGCTGTAGGTGTGCGCGGTCGAATCCGACCGCTTGAATTTTGCCGGAATAGCGCCGCGGCCGAATTCGACCGCTTAGAGATTGAAGGGTTAAATCACATATTGAATATCTAATTGAGATATGGAGATCAGCTGCTAAGACTAGTCTGAATCCACATCAAATGATCCGGAATAAAATTATCAATACATTATTCCACTATCATTATCTAACTCCAACAAAAGTACCATACGAAAAAACTAAATTACTTAATCTTACACAACTATACACTTACCGTACTTACACCCTAATAGAAAATATTGCCACTAATTATATTCAATCAAACATACAATTACAAAAAAAAATAACAACACATAACTTAAGAATTAAAAATAAAATACAACTAATAACTGCAACGTATTAATTATGGCAACAAACGCTGTTGTTTGATTGAGCACAGCTATTCAATAAATTACCAGATGACATAAAAAAACTGCAATAACATGAAATTGTTTTAAAGTAAACATAGAAAATACGTAAGTATAGCCTAATCTCTTTTAAATACGTGGTAACTAATATGTATAGCCCGTTCGGATAAAGAATGGGACTATACATGGCGGCTCGCCGAATCCGTACCGTCGAAATGAACAATAAAAATAACGAAAGTATATCGTCATTATGTTAATTGAAACGTTAGGTATATTGTTCATTTGATTGGAAATTTTCTATTAATGGGAAAATATTTGAATAGAGTTATTCACACAAGTAGACACATTAGTTTTAAAATAACAATTACACCCAGTGACCCACACTGGCTTCGTTTGGATAAAATTAAATTATTTATAAGTATAGATTAGTAAATTAATCACGAAATTAAGTTTATATTATTTTGAAAAACAGCTAAGAAAATATTTCAAATAGGACAGACAGGCAAGAAACTCTATAGACATTTATATTTTTGTAGTAATTTTTTAAAATTAAACTCTGCTACTTAAACTTTAACCAAAATCGTCTTAGAACACTTTGATTCCGGACATCCCATTGTTATCTTCATGATCATTTTTAGACTCGTAGCAACTATTGCTTTCACAATCGCTGTTCAGCCCAATATTAATTATAAACTCTTCAAAGTCATTTTCATTCGATATCTCCCTCACCCATTTATCATTTTCCAATATTTTTATGTGATTAACTTCTTTTCGTCAATCCATGGCTGTAATTGAGGCTATTGCTTCACGCGCTAATACTTATATTTCTTTTCAGCTGGTCGACGTTCTTTTCGGCCACTCTTTGATTTACCAGATTTCACACATACTCTATCGGGCTGAGATCACAATTGTATGGTGGTAGTTTTAACGTTTCATAGACGTGATTAGCTGGGAACTGATGTATAGCGTAATCTTTCTCTGGGTTGAATTTTTTACTAATTCTCAAAGCTCATATTTTGTCTATTAATCGTCATAACGTATACCTCTTTCGCGTACTTATACAATTTTGGATCTCACCTTTTCGGTTTGCTATTGATGGTGGTTTACTTAATTGCATTCGGTGATACTTGCATACTTGCATAATCTATGGGGAAGCTTTTTTAGTACTGGACTTTAATAGGATATAACGATACGATACGGTGCAGTAAGGGTACGTAACCCTAGAAACGGATAACGCATGAAAAAACGAATACTGAATGGCAAATACAATAATTTTGATTTATTATATCAAATATCAAACTGCAACTGCTTTAATATAATAAATACACAATAAATTTAATATTTAGAAATAACAATAGATAACAATCTTAAATTCAAAGCACACATAATATATTTACTTACATTTTTTTAAAACTTAAGACATGTCACAACTGGATATTGCTAAAAACTGTTTACATATCCTTGTACCAATCTATATTAACCTACAGTATTACTGTTTGGGGAAGTTTCAATAAAACACACATGCTTGAATTGGAAAGAGCTCAGCGAATGATTTTAAAAGTTGCACTTTATAAACCAAAATTTTTTTCAACATTCAGGGAAGCTAACGTGTAATTAAATAGGTATTATACATAATGACTGGTCATTATATATAATAGCAAAATTGAATAGACAATATGATAAATTAATCACTTTATCCGGATATTATTCATAATAGCGGGTCAAAGTTAGCCAAAGTAATAAATACGGTGTAACTGACTTGTTACCCTTCCCGCTCTTCATCCCGCTGCTGCGTGGCGTGACCACCGCGATCTCGTGGCTGACGCAATAGTGTTCGTTGTCGTTTTTTCATGAGAGGTCGTGCAGTGTGTGCCGCAATTTCCGCGAGTTTTTTACATTTGTATCAGTGTCTGATGATGGCAGATGAAATGAAAAAACGTTTCTATGAAACTACCACTGTACTTATTGCAAGTAAAGGAAAAAATAATCAGTTGTTTACAAATGATCAATATTTGTCTTTAATTTTAAAAGTAAAAGAATCAAAGAACATGATTACTAAGAAAACACCAGAAGACTACCAGCGCTTAGCAAGATACGATGTCGTCAAAATTGGAGCATCAGAAAAACTAATTATTCCGGTGAAAAACGAAGGTGATCCCATTATTTACTATGCTTACTTAGACGAAACTTTTCAAATAATCCACGACTGTCATATTAGTATTGGATACGGCGGTAGAGTCAGAATGATGAACGAGTTAAAATTAATATATAAAAATGTAACTGCTGAACTCGTCACAGTGTATTTGAATCTGTGTGAATCTTGTCAGAAAAAAAAAAGTTTGCCAAAAAAAGGTCTTGTTGTAAAACCGATTATCAGCAACGAGCTTAATTCAAGGTGCCAAGTTGATCTAATAGACATGCAATCACAAGGTGATTCAAGTGTAGAAGTGTATCAAGATCACCTAACAAAATTCGTGCAGCTGCGGTCGCTAAAAACCAAACGAGCAGAAGAGGTAGCGTATCATTTACTTAAAATTTTTACTACATTCGGAGCGCCTAGTATTTTGCAAAGCGATAATGGCGGGGAATTTGCTAACAAAGTGGTCAAAGAAGTCTGTGCGATGTAGCATGAATTAAAAATCGTTCATGGTAAACCCCGACACTCTCAATCACAAGGGTCTGTTGAAAGGGCTAACCAAGACGTAGAGAAGATCCTTTGTACTTGGCTGGAATCTAACAAGGCGACCAAATGGTCTGAAGGATTACGCTTTATTCAATTTATGAAGAGCAGAGCGTATCGCGCAGGGATAAATCGTAGCCCTTACGAAGCAATGTTTGGCTGTAAAGCTAAAGTCGGATTAAATAGTATTCCTAAAAAAGCGCTAGTTGAACTGTCAACAGAAGAAGAACTAGAATCTATACTGAATGAAGACGAAATCCAGTTGAATAAGGAGAGGGAAACCGAACCCAATATTACCGACGCTGTGATTAATGAAGATGAAGAAATAGAAAGCGATACTACAATTTTAAACACTGATTCGCCAAATATAATTCCAAATAACCTGACAGGAAAATCTGATAAAGAGACCGAAAACCAAGGAAATACTGCAGATCCGTCAAAAATAACGCAAAGTGACCAAAAAATAGTAATAGCTCTCGATAAAAAGAAACGAGATATAGGAAACATCAGAAAATTAGTTGGACAATCTCTGAAAAATCAAGCAGATAAAATGTTAGCTCTATCTTCGGTAAAATATCCTGCTGTTAATACAGGCTTTAATGTAGTGGTAAAAATTCCTGATGTAGACCACGCCAAAGCCGATGATAGGAACATTATGGCTGTTGTAATTTCTCGGAGACAGAAGGAATGTATAAGTTAGGCACTAAGCACGAGATCCTAAATCAACTTTACGCAAGGAATCAGTTCACTGTCTGCAAAGAAACGTTTATTACAGTTGATATCGTTCCCCAACATGAAGTAACTATCAGATAATGTGCAAAAAAAGAATCACATCTTGGCGACCAAGGATTTCTGCATTGCAACTATACTGGAGAATGCGTTTCTAATAGGTGTTAATGTAAAAAGTCAAACCTCATGTGTAACTCAAAATGTCACAAGAGTCTTACTTGTAAGAATAAATAATAATTATAACCCAATTAACTCATGTCAGTTCATTTTAAATATTTTATTAATGTAGTCTTTAAAGAGTGATACCAAATACTTGTATTGATCTCTGTGTTTTTTTTAAATTTTGTTTTATGGCTAGTGAGCTTTAAATTTACTTTATAAATTAAAGTATTTAAAGTAAAATAATTTTTTATCAACGTTAATTACCGTAGAATTGTTATCTATGAAAATGTTATTTTATTCTTAAAATAAACATTATAATTATTACTTTTCTATTATTACTAAAATATTACTATTTGCTACACACATATTTAAGTATGCTTGAGGCAAATTGAAATATAATTTTATAATATTTACATATACCTATATACTTGTTTTATTACATTATACAAGTCTTCGAAGATATTATATAAAATTGCTAGTTAATGCGATTAATTATGTGTCAATTATCACTTCATCTAAATTGAGTAGATATTATAAATAACGGCTAGGTAATATGTTTAATATCCGGATTTGTTACTTTGGCTGTAACACACGATATTGTCTTTAATTTAAGAAAAAACACACTTGCACATACACCCAATATATTACAAAAAAGTAGAAGAAATTTTGAGGTAGTGAGACAAGCAAAATCTACTTTCGCCCAAAGTTTATGGGTACAGAATAAGCAGGTTATATAATAAAGTTATTAGAAAACACTACAAATTTTCATTGTAAGTAAGTTTATGAAATTAGAATACGAAGAAACAGAGAATTTACTTATTAATTATATATATATATATATATATATATATATATATATATATATATATATATATATATATAATTAATAAGTAAATTCAGCCTACGGCTTCGTACGCGCCTGTTGCTTATGCTAGCGACAACGGGGTCGTCGAAATCGAAGATCTGAAACGTCTGACGTTGAATTCTAAGAGCCCGGGGACGGGAAAACAACGTGATTCTCGAGACCATTCGAGACGTTCTAGATCTATCATTTTTGTAAGTCAACAGGAAATGCCCATCAGACTAAACAACTTTTGCTAAGACGTCATTCCTATATATGTTATATTGTCGCTGGGTTTTGGATGGAGTGTAACTCCTTGTGTGTTATTAAGTTAATAAATTGGTAATATTGTTTAGATCATGTTCACATGAGGCTTAAGTACTTATAGAACAAAAATACTTCGGCGCAAAGCTTCCGGGTAAACTATGTTGAAAGTTGACCCGTCCGGCACGTGAACATAAAGATTTCTAGAATTGCTAACCCGGGAAAGAGCGACGTACAACTGACCATGCGAGAAACAACTGACACCGAGATCTACTCCAGCAACACGAAAAGTCTGCCCTTGAGCCTTATTAATTGTCATTGCATAACACACTGTTACTGATACTGACACACTGATGGGAATTCTGGGAATAAAGACGGTTTCTCCTGCACCGCAACCTGTTACAATTTGAGCCTCGATTATATTTTGTTGCAACTGGGTCACTTTTAACCGAGTTCCATTGCAAAGTTGTTGTGGTCTTAAATTTCGGAGCAGAATAATCGGAATGCCAATTTTTAAACAAATTTCATGAGAAGGAAGTTCGGGCATATTTAAACAATTTAAAAATTCTATCGGGTAATTTTCAATTCTTAATCTTTCATTAGACAAACTTATTAATCGTTCTTGTCTCAAAGAATTGTAATATTCGCGTCCCGACTCTAGTCGTTGTTCATGTTCATGTTCATCTTCAAGAGGTCGAACAATATTATGGTGTATCCTATCATTTGTCAAACGGTCTTCATATTAATAATAATAATAATAATAATAATAATTTTATTTCAGATATAAGCTCCGTAATTTGTTAGTAATAAATAATATAAACTTAAAATTAATGTTAGTAAATATACAAATAAAAAACAACAATGCCTATTTTATATTAAATATAACAGCTCTGGACCCCATATGCACAGTGTTCTAGTGCCGCACTACCGGACAATCAAAGCTACCTAATACAATACATAGGAGTCCGTTGGCACTATCTCGCACGCGTCGCATCAAGGAGGCCACTCTCTTCCGCATTATTGCATCAAAGCTGCCTCAACAAACATACCTGATGCGCTGCAATATTGAGACAGCCCCATTAGCATCCTAAAGCCATTATTATATTGAACACGTAGAGCATTTACGGATCTGCGAGTATACTTGACCCACAGGCTGCAGGTGTAAAATGTTTGGCAGTACGCCTTAAAAAGGGTTATCTTGAGAGCTTTTGTACACTTTGCAAACCTGCGAGCCAGCATGTTGCACCTCACTGCTAACGCTCTACGTTCTCGTTCAATATCCAAGTATCAGAGAGGTCATCTGTAACCCAGTGCCCCAGGTATTTAAATTTGGTGACTCTACTTAAAGGTACTCCTCCAAGCATGACCGGTGGGATATCCTTGGGTTCTTTATTCCCTACCTAGAAAACAAGTAGCTCACTCTTTTTGGAGTTGTACCTGAGGCTATGGGCTTCCGTATATCTCTCACATAAATTTATTAATGTTTCAAGTGCTCTGATCGAAGGGCTCAGCAGCACCATGTCGTCCGCGTAACTGATGCTGTTTACGAAGTTACCATCTATTGAGCATCCGACGCCAGTTCTGCTAAGCTCATCGATCAATCCATTTATATATAGGTTAAAGAGCCTCGGTGAAGTTAAGCCCCTCTGTCTCACTCCACATTCCAACCTATATTTACTTGAGTATGAACATGCCCACCTTACATTATTTGATTGGTTGTGGTACCAATACCTTAATATATCGACTATCTCTCTAGGCGTACTCGTTTCCCTCCGAAGCTTATCCCATAATAGGTTGTACGAGACGAGGTCAAATGCCTTCGACAAGTCCAAAAAACAGGCGTAGACAGGCATTTTTCTCGTAACATAATACTGGACGGTATGCTTGAGTCGCAAGATTGCAGTTTCAGTGGACAGTTCAGGTATAAACCCAAACTGTGCCTCATGTACCTGTATATGTTTACTTATTCGACGATCAAGCAAACCATCCAATACTTTGGCTATCACAGTAGCTAGCGAGATCGGTCTATAATTGTTCTTGTCGGCAGCATCCCCGGTCTTATTCTTTAGAACTGGTACCACTATGGTCTTCATAAGTTCCTGAAGTAAGTATTCATGCCCTATACATGCATTATAGAGCATAGTCAACACCCTAGGCAGATGAACTCCCTCATACTGCAGGTGCCCAATACTGAGGTCATCATGTCCAGGTGATTTACCACGTGTCATATTATTTATGACATTTGCGACTTCTTTTGCAGTAAATCTGGCAGATTCACTGCATGATTTCTCCTCAATATCGAACACCCGCTGCACCGGTCCCAATGGAGATTCCACTTTGAAGTGTTCCCTAAAAACTTCTGCGATATGATGGGGCTCACTTTTACCATCGATACTCGCAGGTAAGCATGATGCAGTTTCCAGCTTCTTTGTTTGTTTCCAAAACTCTTAGAATCTTTTTCTTTGTGGTGAGTAGCCAAAATATCCATTTTTATTTGGTACTCATTGTCTTGACACCACTTAAGCTTTGACTTAAAACACCTCCTAGCTTCTCGCATTCTGTCATATACATAACCCGCACTGGGCTTACCATACAGTAACCACATTTGGAAACTGCATCGTGCCTCCTGATGGACCTCCCGTAAGTACCTATTCCACCCAACAACCAGTTTGTGTTTACTACGCTTTCTTATCTCATAGCTAGTTTCAGCAGCTTCTTTTAAGATGTAAACAATATTATTATACAACCTATTAATTACAGTTCTATGATCTACATTTTTACACACTTTATCCGCACAAAAACTAAATTCTATCGGAAAATCAATATTTCTTAAATTATTATGACATATTTTACTGTATACGTTAATCTGATCAACGCCCCTCTCACCCCACTTCACCTTGTTACAACATTTTTCTTTATATTGCGTTTTAAATGACAGATTACCTATCTTAAAATCTACTTCCAGTGGAAAATGATCTGACCAATAAACATCAAGGCATACCTTACAATTTGATACACATCGCCAAGCTGCCTCTGTTACCAGACAGTGATCAAGCCATCTTCGGCAGTCCTTTTTAATGTCACTTATATAAGTGTATATGTCTGATGTCATTTTTAAATGGACCACGTCTGCACAGAGCCACCTCCGCTCTCACAGAAATTGGATAACTCATTATAGAATAATTCTCCGGGATGCGCATTAAGATCACCGAGAATAATTGCAGATTCAATTTCGCAACTCTCGATTACAGCGTCTATTTCACTTAACACCTCTGTAAACTCAATTAAATTATCTTGATTGTCTGTAGGCATATACACCGAAAAAACCAGGAACAAACGGTTATTCGCACATATTTTAACAGCTGTCAGTCTAACACTATTACACGGAACGATTGTAACTGACGAAAACACACTTTTCTTCCACATTATCGCCACCCCACCATAGGGTCGCCCACGGAGCATGCTGGTTGATGTGTCCACCGCTGACTTGCTCGTGAATTCAAAGTCACTGTCAATATTCCCTATATATGCAATGTCATGCGGTAATAACCATGTCTCCTGAAGAGCTATTACGTGTGCCGTCTTGCATAATTCCCTCACCCCGTCCACTGATCTCGTTACTGACTTGCAATTAAAACTAATAAGTTTTATACTGTGATCATCATTTATGTCCATACTATACTTTTTAATTAACTTTTACCACC